CGAGCCGGGCTGCAGCCGCGCTCCCGGAGCCCGGCGGAGCCGGCCGGCCTCTCCCGCTGGCAGTGCTACGTGGAGCCCTTAGTAAGGCAACAGGTATTGTAACCTTTGCCTAAACTGAGTTGAGGGGTAACTCAAAAAGTCTGAAAGTCGGTACTTTCAGACTTGTTTCCAGTTTTTTGTTAGGAAAGTGATTTCTTGCTGCGCAAAGCTAATGTTGACTGTGATGTTTTGTTGTCCGCGGCTGACAGGGCGCTGGGATGAGCGCGCTCTGTGTTAACATGGCACTAGTAGAAGCTTAACGTTTGCAGTTCAATTCAGCAGACTCATCTGTTGATTTCCTGCTTGTCTTTCATTCTCGTTCTGTGATTCTTCTGTTCCTTTGCTCCCAAATTGCAGGGCTGACGTAGGCTGTGCGGAAGCAGCCCTTCTGCAGCTGCCGACCTTCATGCGCAGCATTTTGGTGTTTCTCTTAAACACCTGTCTACAAATGATATTTCAAATTGACATTTGTTTCTGTATACTCTAAAGCGACTTGTGAGCAGGATAACGCTGCGTTCAAGTCTATTAGACTGCTGTTAGTTGAGGTCAGTCTCCTGTGTGTGTTTATAAGCGTGCTTACTTTGCAATCTGTTTGGTCAGAGTTGTTAATTATTCCTTAATTATATCTTCAGAAACAGGCTTGTTCTCGTGGTCTGTGCATGCTGTATGTTGTCAGCCGGATGGTGCCTGTTTTGTGTGTTTAATAAAACGCAAACCAAAACTTTGAGTTCATGAACTTCCGGAAGCAGATGTCCCTCATAAAACTGTGCCACAGAAGGAAGTTGCAAAACTTTTTCTTTGCAGTTCTTCTTTCCGATTCAGAGAGAGCAGGAGACATCTCCACCGGTAACGCTTATTTCTAGGGTTAGCACAACTCCTTGAGCAGTCTGTCCGCTTCTTTAACCCACTGCCTGCGCCAGATACGTAACAAACGGCTTTCTGCCAGGGAACTAACTCGTTCTAGAGCTGTTTTTTGAGTGGGGAGGGGGGCGGGAGAAACACGTCTGCGTCTTGGAAACCACCTGTAAAACAGAGTGATTACAATTGTTTTTATGGGGTAAAACTTCCCAGATTTTCTTCTCCTTCTCAAACCAATTGCTCTTGGCGGGTAGTAATGGGACTTGGCAAAGATTTGGGGTACTCGGAGGGGAGGCACGTGAAGGTGCAGGACGCCTTGCTGACCTACATCCAGCATCGCCGGGTAAAGCAGAGGATTCTTGAGGCCTTCTTGGTGCAATATTGCTGACCTCGGAAAATTCTCCTAACGATGTCTGAGGTTTCTAGGTTAGTTTTCAAACTCCTCTCTGTAAGTCCCGTAAATGAGTCCCATCCTTTTAAGTGAAAAAGCTGGAAGTCTTGTCTAATGTTTCAAGGAATTAAGCAACGGGGAGTGGGGCAGGTAATTTAGCACATGCAGATCTTGCCATAGGTTACTTTTTCAGGTGGTAATACTGACTCATTCTTCATTGTGAATGCTGCAATAAGGAATTAAACTAAAACCAGTTTATACCTGTTTTATCACTGAAAAGCTAAAAACTGATATTCGGCATGTGTAAATAATGGATTTATAGCAGGAAGCGATCTTGTTCCCTCCAGCAGAGGGAGGGGGGCATGTCTATAGCGATTAACCGTGATTGTCTTCCATATAACAAAAGTTGCGCTGTCCCGCATGTTAGCTGCGGAGACTCAGCGTGCTTTATGGTTCCAGCTCTTGTTTGTCGCGTGACAAGGTGCAGCTGTAGCAAAGATAAGTACGGGTTTCTGACCTTCCTTTCCAGCTACTTTGCTGATACAAATGGTAAGAGGTGACCATGGACAGAGAACTGGATCTTAATATTTTGGGTATACTTAAAATTCCCAAACCTAGGAAGGGGCAAACTCTTGTTGCACTGAACTTGATTTGTTTTCCTGTCAAGCGTAGGGCTCAGTACATCTCCTGCGAGAGAGGAGTAAGGCATAAGCCCTTACTCCAAACACAGACAAGTTGGCACGCTTGCCCTAATGGTGTGCACCCGGGCGGTGGGGAGAACGGGTTGTCTGATGTGTGCATATGCTTGTACACGTTACCATTAAAATACAAATGTAAGGTTTCATTTCCTTGTCCGACACATTCTGATTAGTGGACTGGCACTCAGTATATTCACAAAACTAACTTGTTCAGTGTTTCTGATCAACAGCAACTAACAAATCCTTGTTTCCTCTTGTAGCACTCCATCTCTCCAGGACTGTAATGTTACAGCCTACAGGACTGTTATCCTACAGCTATAGGATCAGAAACATCTTCCTGCCAAAATAAGTGGAAAATGTTCTCATCCTTTCTTAAAATTCATTTGCCTGCATGAAATTTCAATTTCCTGGCAGAGACCGCGTTTGATTTTCAACCTGATTTTCATCCATTTGAAAATTAACATTTTAACAGCAACAAAAGTGTTCAGTATTGCCCTGAAGACTCATTTAGCCATATAAATTAATATAAATGCTGCCTGCTCTCATTGTAGCTGGTGCCTTTCCTTGCTTGCAGCTTGACACTTACTGAAAGATGTCAGCGATTGGGGTAGCAGCCTCCTGCTCCGGTCTCCGTCCTGGTGTGTGGCTGTTGAAACCAGGCGTGCACAAGATGCGCTCCCTTGGCTTCCATACGGCAGCCAGGTGCGCTGCCAAGGATTACTACGAGGTTCTCGTGCTGGGTGGAGGCACTGGTGGAATCACCATGAGTGCTCGGATGAAGAGGAAAGTGGGGGCAGGAAATGTGGCTGTTGTTGAGCCAAGTAAGGTAAGTCTTCATTAGATGTAAGTTTGAAGAGAATAAGCATTTTACGGATGTGACCAGTTTGATCTTGTTGTGATCCCTCCTCAACCCCAAATGTTTTTAACTGGGGAGAGGAAGCCAACTAGCCAGCCTTTAGAAGGCTCTGCATGAAATTTGTTGCTCCATCTTAAAGATGCACCTGTCCCTCCGTTTTGTCCTACAAGGCTCCTGGTTATTTATATAGCTTCTTTTGTTAAGAATAAAACGTTAGGAGCAAATTGCTTCAAAGGAGTGATATACCTTCATCCTCAAGTCCATCTAAACATTTCTTTCAGACTCATTACTATCAGCCGCTCTGGACTCTGGTTGGTGCTGGTGCAAAGCAGCTGGCAGCTTCTGCACGACCAACAGAGAGTGTAATGCCTCAAGGTGTCGAATGGATCAAATCTCGAGTTACAGGGCTGGATCCAGATAAGAACTGTGTCTGGCTGGAGAATGATAAAAAGGTAGTCATGTCAGAAAAATGTTATTCTGAATCTCTTATTCTGTGTCATGAGTTGTCTGTCCACCTGCCGGTCCCCGTGGCACGCTCTGATGGGGAGAAGCTGGGAAGTTCACTTAGTCTTATGAGAAGTACTTGATCTTAGAATCTGCTTATAATCAAAGTTGTGGGTAACTAGGTTAGTCTAACATCAACTTTAAATATTGTCATCATAGTGACAATTTTTCCCTGTGTAGAGAACTGAACACAAAAGATGGAATAGTTTGCTCCAAACACTTGGTTTCATGTTTAGCAAAGCTCGTGTGTATAACTCTTAATGCAATTAGCATTTTAACAATAAATTATTGGAGCTTAACTTTACTAATGCTCTCTGTCTGCCCTTCCCTTGCGACTGTTAAATGTTCTCAAGAAAAATTTACTTCCAGGTGATGTTTTGTTTTGTCTGAAATATTTTTTTTTTCCTTACACAACAGATATCTTACAAGTATCTGATAATTGCCCTTGGAATCGGTCTGCATTATGAAAAGGTATTGGTTACAGTGATCGTGTTCTTACCAGTTTTAATGGCATCACGTGCCCTCATGAGTCACTTACAGTAAATGACTTACCAGTACACTTTTTTACTGCAAGAAGCTGAACAGTAATACAAACTGAAGAGCCAGAAGACAGTCTAACGAATTTAGTGTGCCTCTCCATAGATCTGGATGTAGGAACTCAAATTACTCTTGGGAAGCTCTTTTAAGATAGCTTGGTTGCATCTTTATGGCAAAACCTGCTGATGGGGCAGCTAGTAAACCTGAACCCAAATGCAGTCTCTAATAGTGAGACGGAGAAGTATGGTGACCGCAGTCCAAGGCAGCTCTAATATAAGCAGAGATGAAGAAAATATAGCAGTTAGTAGAACCTGCCCGGCCTGAGTGACTTGCCCTACTCTCCACCACCTTTCTTAAAGGGTGCACTTCAGAAGGACCCAGCTGAGCCATCAAGCCTGTGTTTAAGTAGGCCTGGGACCCTTCTTATCCATTAGGTTTCTTGTACGCGTTCTACAGTGGCACTCAAAGGACAATGTTAATATGGTTGTATTGCAGCAAGAATGACCTTAGCAATACACAGGAGGAGAGAAACACAAAATATTTTTGAGCAATTTGACTCTACTGGTTTAACCTGACCAGAATATAGTGTAGTTGCTAATAATATATTTGAGTCTCTCTCTGACTAGCTCCCAAGGTGTAAGTAAAGCAAGAGCTAGTCTTAGTTAACTGTAGTCACAACAGATGATTGATAAACTCTAGTGATCAGATCAGAAGAATAAGGAATTGCACTGTGTTTAGTGGCCCCCCCTCCAGCCTTCATATAAATCTCTATACCGTACGACCTGAGAAAACGAAATTCAGTGTTCCGTGGAGGAAGCCAGGTAATACAATTAATCACTGCTAGGCTGCAGTGAGGTCTAGGGAATTTAGTGAATAAAACTCATAGTAACAGATTTATGACTTTAAAACCAAAATGCCCCATTTAACAATAGGCACGGCTTCTCTTAATTATGTCTTTACCAACAGCATACTTTCTGGTGTAGACTGTAACGTCCCAAACACGCCGCAGTGTATATAACGTGAACGAGTTTTCTCACAGAAATTCTGCAATCCATTGCTTTTGAAATGGGGATGACTGCCTTCCTCACAAACAGGTGCTCGGGCATAGCAGTAGTAGGGAAACAATTAGTGGAGACAGTTGAGATAAAACAAAATACCTTAGGAAACACGGACGCCTGCAACTGACTACCGAAAAGCTTCATTCACTGCAGAATTTTCATAATGCCATTTTTAAATGTTTTTCACTTACGATGAAGGGGCAGTGACTTCATGTGTTCTTACTCTGAATTTCACGCTTTAGTCTACAAAAGCTCTGGTCTGGTTCTCTACTGAACACTTACTTACCATACAGATGTTGCAGACCGTTGTCATCTCGTAAGCGTTAATATCGTTGGTTGATTGGCGGACTTATTTTCAGAAATACCAACCAGCAAGTGTATATGGACTTTCTTTTTGCCAGAGGCCTCTTAAATAGCTATTTCTCAAGCGTGCATTTCATATCTGAAGATGGAGACAAACTTCTTGCCAGCTGTATTTTAACCCTTATTTTTATTTTCTTAGATCAAAGGCTTGCCTGAGGGTTTTCATCACCCAAAAATAGGTTCCAATTATTCAGTTCATACAGTAGAGAAAACATGGAGAGCTTTGCAAGATTTCAAGGAAGGAAATGCCATCTTCACTTTTCCAAACACTCCAGTGAAATGTGCAGGGGCTCCTCAGAAAATCATGTATTTATCAGAGGCCTACTGGAGGAAAGTAAGTGTTTTACTGTCTCTGCCCGTGCTTGTTCCCACAGCTAGAAGGAAGGCTTATTTTGACGGGTTTATACTACCTTTAAAATAAATGAAAACCACACAAGAGAAACGTGACTCAAGATTCTTATAAATGAAAGTGACTGAATTACTTTTTCTATTATTACCATATACTAAATGAAGCTAACTGAATTGTACATAAATATTTAGCATCTATTTAATATGGGAGAGACTTGTAGAGTTCAGGATTCGTAAGGAATGAACGGTTTACCTTACTACCTGCGAGCCACACATCCAACACTGTTCTTAACACTTTAGGAGGTGCAGTAAAATCACAGTGGGGGGCATTAAGTCATTCCTGTTAGTTTAAGTACTGGGTGCAATACCTCTGCTGCCGTTTGTCTTCGCCGCCAGTCTGCAAAGTGGCTGTGCTTGTTCCGTGTGGTGCTCTGTCTCAGTGTGGGGAGTCGTAGCCAGACTGCTAAAGCAAGCTTTGTGGAAACAAAAGACAGCCGCAAGTGGACGTGTCATGCTTCATACACGTTTAAGTTTCAAGGGCTACCTGCTAGGCAAGTATCTGAGGAACGCGCAGAACTGAAGGTTTCAGAGTGCTGCATAGTTCTGAGCTGGTACCAATGCTTAACCTGCAGGCGGTAATGCTGCTCAGGGAACTGCAGCCACCTCTTCTCACGAGCGTTTCTGTGCCTCACCCAGAAGAAGCAGTGATTAGCTTGTCTAGCTTCTAATGTGATCGGAAACAGCTGCATCTCCAGGGTTCTAACGTTAATACTTTACTTAATAATTGAAGGGCACTAATAGTTTTATTGGCTCTTCAGTAGCATGGCACAGTTCTCAACTCTTGATGTTTCTATTAGTTTATCACACTTTCTAGACAGAAAATGCTAATCTGATCTTTCTTTGCAGACAGGAAAACGGTCCAAAGCAAACATAGTGTTCAATACTTCGCTGGGTGTCATTTTTGGTGTTAAGAAGTATGCTGATGCATTGCTTGAGATAATAAAGGAGAGGAATATTGCTGTCAACTATAGACGCAACCTTATTGAAGTTCGAGCAGACAAGCAGGAAGCTGTGTTTGAAAACTTGGACAAACCAGGAGTCACTGAAGTTCATCAGGTTGGGAGCTTTCAGACCTCTAATTTGGTCCTATTTCTTTTCCTTATGTATACTGAAACATAACTACTACATTATAGTAACATAATATTTATTGCTCTGTTATATACTGTCATTTGCCTCCTTGGCATATATCAGTCTCTAACTTCAGCTGAAGAGTCGTGGAGTATACAATCCTGCCCATAAATCCTGCCCAGAGTTCTGCATGCCTTGTTACTGTAACTGAGGAGTATTTCTGGTATACCTGGAGGAAGGGAAGTTCCTGTTCTGCCAGCCTTAAATGCAGTTCCCTGATAAGGCTCATGCTAATGAAGATTTTGGAAAAGATGCTCTTCAAATTTGAGAAAACTGAAAATTTTCACTCTCTATACTTGTTAAAAAAAAAAGACAAAACTCTTCAAAATGTTCTCATTGCCTTATATCAACACAGGTAGGATTTGTTCTGATCAACTATTCATGTAGTACCTTTACTTTCTGCCTAGTATGAAATGCTTCATGTCACACCCCCAATGGGGCCACCTGAGGTACTCATCAACAGTCCTGTCTCGAATGAAGTTGGCTGGGTAGATGTAGATGCGGAAACTCTACAACATAAAAAGTATCCTAATGTATTTGGTATTGGAGACTGCACCACCCTTCCAACATCAAAAACGGCTGCAGCTATAGGTAAAGGGGTGTGGGGGTGTGTGTCGGTGTGGGGGTGTGTGTGATGAAAAGGGTGGGAGTGGCAGTATGCTTCTTTTAAAGCAGACAGATTAAATATTGTTTAGTTTGTTGCTCTGAGGTCTAGCCCTCAATTATTTCCATCTTTCAAAGACTTAAGTCTCCTGGGCCAACTTATGTGGTACAGTTAGCTAGGTACCATCACACTGATACTATCATCCCACAGTTATAGCGCTCTTCTAAATGACTCTCATTTGAACTAGTTCTAGTTTCTCGGTTTACAGAATTGCATAAAGCAAATGCAATAGTCTCGTATTTCTTCGTTATTCAGTAACAAAACTTTCTGCTGTATCTTAGACGCTCACATGTCTATGTCAGCTCACTGATAAGTAAGTAGGGAAGAATCACGTGTTCTGTACTTGTAGCCACAAGATCCAGTATAAAAACACTTTAGGCATATTGTAACAGAACTAGAAAGCAATGTAAAATATAAGGCTGAACACACATGCGCACACACAGGGACAGGCCATAGCCTGCTGGTATATTATTGGCGTAACTCAAAGAATATTGTATTCGACTACTCCAGCCTCATCTGCTGGAATACTTTCCTTGCAGAGGTAAAAATGAAACAAAACAAACAAAACTGCAGCGCTCGGCGTTTGGGAACACTGAGCAAGTATAATTTAGCATAGCAGGGTATTTGCTATAAATATATAGCTCAAGTTTTGTTAAGCCTTCGCATGGTGGAAACAATAAGGCCAAAGCATTGTTCCAGTATGGAATTTTCCACATGTTATTCTTATCTGGGATTGTAAAATTCCCAAACAGACTTGAAAAATAAGTTCAATTACAGCTGACTTAACAACACACCCAGCCGCTATTGTTTGCTTTAGTGCTGACAATAATTGCTGCCTGAAGCAAAGCCTTAATATGATTGTTTTTATCTTTTATGTAGCTGCCCAGTCTGGAGTGCTTGATAAAACTATTTCTATGGTAATGAAGAACCAGTTACCAACTAAAAAGGTACCTAGATCTTCCCCTAGAAAAAGTTATCTTGAGTATTTTCTCCACTCTTATGTGGGAAGTCTTGCTAAGAAAGCAAGAAGCTAAACCAGTGTAAAGGATACAGAAAGGGCTTTGTGTCAGGAATGTGGGTGCTGAAGAACTGGCTAAGTACTGTATGCCATAATAGTCATTTAGTTGCGTAATTCATATTCTTGATACTGTCTTTAATACACTATCAATTTAATTCCTTGACTTCTGAGCTCTCTGCCAACTTAAACATGTATCCCTTTCTGGAAAGGAAAGGCTGGTTAGACTGGATTTTTCACCAGTACAGGTGGTTTTTATTCAGAGTAAAACTGTTGATTGATGGAGTATACTCCATTCTCTGGGGAAAAGATTGCCAATTCTACAGATCTATGCCACATTCAGCTTGCATCCCCTGTATAGAACCTTACCTTCTAAGGAAGCGCTAAATGGAAGTGGCAGAGCCTGGTTTTGTTTGTGCTACAGAAGCTGTCGTTGTCTGTGACTATGTTTAAATTTCTCTTTAAGGGACAGCGCTCATTTTACATATGGCTTCTGAATTAATTTTCCTGAGCATACTAACCTGAATATCATAGTCCATACTGCTGTGATCCTCTGGAAGTTCTTATGACTATATTCAAGATTCTGTTTATATACTATCTATTAAAGCCAGCACCAGCTCATCATAGTTTACCAGTCACCTGTTCTGCTGCTTACGCTAATACTTGGCAATTAATGAGACAAATCCCTAAGCAAATGAACAATCTGCATTGACATGACAGTGTTTTAAAATTATGGTTATTATGCTGTAACTGGCCCAGCAGTCCCTTAAAAAAAGAAAAAAAACGTATATAATGTTAATACTAGCAAGTTTAAGTGCTGTACTAATGTAGAAACCTCCTGGAAACTGATTTTGAAATATGAATCCTAATCATGTTGTAGCTTGCAATAGTCCAGCATGCGGACTTTACTCAGCATACTTAGATGGGTATATTCTTCATTGCAGTATGATGGATATACTTCCTGCCCACTAGTCACAGGCTATAACAAAGTGATTCTAGCAGAGTTTGACTACAATGCTCAGCCACTGGAGACGTTTCCCATTGACCAGAGCAAGGAGAGAGTAACCATGTACCATATGAAAGCTGATATAATGCCACTTCTCTACTGGAATGCATTACTCAAGTAAGTATTGGAAGTCTGAGCAGGCATAGCTACTGTGATAATTCTTTCAGAACAAAGCTAGGTACAGATAGTTGTTCTGGCTTAAAACTCCTTACTAGAAAAGGAGCAGTTGCTAGATCTGCAGCACAGAGGTCACAGTGCAACTGAAGTGTGACCTTAGTCCTAGACTTCCTGAGGAGTCTGGGCACTTCAATAATAAAAAGGGCTTGTGGAAGGAGAAGAGGGTTGGCTTACACAGAAGGGTACCCCTTGCCCAATTTGCAACACCAGAACTGAAACAAAGATTACTCTTCAAAACAAAGAAAAATCCACTTTGACAGTACATGCGTATGTAACGTGATGAAACAACGTTCTGCTTTTCTAGGGGCTACTGGGGAGGACCAGCTCCTTTCAGGAAGCTAATGCATCTAGGCTTAAAGTAACTGCTGGTTCTTGATGCTGGTCAACACCTTTGAAGAAAAAGGACTGATCTCTGAATGGATCAATACGTATCCTTCCTCTTAACCTACTTTCTGGCTGACTGATGTGTTTTTTTTTTGTTTTGTTTTTTGTTTTTAAATCACACTTTTCTCAGATTCAGTTTCCCCTTTTAGGGATTAAGCCTTGCTTGCTGTTTCCTCACTACTCTTCTACTTAGAGCAATGGCTTAAGATGCTTCCATACCTTCACAGGAGTTTGAACCAAAGTGCAAACTTGCCTTAAGCTACAGGACACTACTGAAGTCTTCTGCCACAATCACTAAACTTAAACCTGTTGTGTATATAACTCCAGGTAACAGGCTATCTTTTAGATGAGTAAATCGATATGTGCACTGGATTTAACACAATAAATGAATGTCAGTAAAATGGTCTCAAAAGTATTTTTGAAATATGAGCCAAATCAATCCTGATTTCTTCAGCAAGAAGCATGGTTGCTCTCTAACTATAGATGGATTACAGAAGTTAGTGCACGTTACTGAAGGGGAATGCCTCTCAAGCCCTCCACGTTTTTCTAGACTCACTTAAGGTTTCTTTTGAGACCCTAACACTAGCCCTGACCTATTTTCCTCAGACAAGAACCAAAGCGGTTACATTAGATTCAACTTTGTTTTGTGCCACCTTTTAGGGAGATCTTCTCTGCTGATAAGAAAATGTATTTTCACAAGAGCCTCATCTATGCTAATTCCCAGTGTAAAGCAGTGTATATACTAGCATAATTGTGATAGCTTTTCACTGTTATAGTTTAAGAATACAGTGAATGAAATCCAATAGGAGAAGTGAGAGGACTTAAATTGCACGCAAGGCAGATGCTAGCCTCAAGCACAAATTAAGACAATTGGTGACGGGGGCCAATGTTCTTTAATTATGACCACATTTAACTGAGTTTCAAGGGAAAATTGAACAAAGTCCAATTTAAGAGTTAAAGAGAGTCTTCACAGAAGCTGGAACCTTAGTGGTGGTCACGGAACACATCTTGGAGCAAACAGGAATCTTCTTCACCCACAAGAATCAACAGCAGCTTATTTCTAAGCAGAAAACACAGACATTTCTAAGTTATAGCTTTATGCTTTTCAACCTAGCCTTTAAAAAGGCTACATATTCATTTAAAATTAGACCACTACCTTTGAGTTGTAGTTATAAGGATTAACATGTACCTGCATATTAAGTAGTTCTTCGATCTTGTTTTGAATCTGTCCATACACATCATTAAACAGCTCCTCCTTTGATTTTGTTCCATTCAAGTGCACTTAAAATAAGAATGTTACAAAAATAGAATTTTATTTCTGTAAGCTGGCCAGATCCTAATTCAAAGAGCATGCGGCTTGACTAGTTTCAAGGAAATACAGTCCATCCAACCGCTTCAACCCCTCTCACTTCACCAGAACGTTTATCCCAGAGGGGAAAAGCACGTTCCCATAAAACGGTCTTATAAAACCGCTTTTGTCATTAAAGACTTACCTACGTCAACTCCAAGATCTTCCATTATCTTCCTGTGCTTTACATACATAGGCCAGACGTGGCCATCAAACAATCCAGGTGGATCTGGTACGGTGTAATTCCTTGAACTGCATTAAGAAATTGTTATACGTGAGTAGTCTAATGACAGTTTAGGGAAACGGTACATAAAGCACCCAGTTTCCCTGCACGCTAGCCTAAGTCCACTGCCTTCAGTTTAGTTTTTAAGCTTATCAAAAGTTAGTGTTTGGCACCAGCTACAAGAAGAGAGGTAGCAAGAAGGGTTGGATTTTATGTGCTGGCCCAAAGAATTCAAAAGGCAGAAAAGGCTTCTTAAGGAATGACTGAACTTAGCATTGAAGAACAGTCTTCTCTTAAAGCTTTAGCAGAAGTGCAAGTAAAATAGCTGGCTGCTTATTCCACTGAAGCTTAACTGTTCCCCGAGTTTAACCTGTTTCATTTGTGCTAAGAACACTGTATGTGTGTAACAATACAGCCCAATATAAAACCTCAGGACAGATGAAGTGCTAGAAACCATGCTCATGGGAAAATGAGCTATGCTGAATTTGAACATTAGTCTCATGCATACAATAGTTTGACAGAACGCTTTGGGGTTTGTTCAATGACGGAAGCTACAACTGTCTAACAGAGTAACTATATCAGTCTTTATCCTTTCTTATCTGAAAACTTTAAACTGTAAGTCTTGAACTGAGTGAGATATTACTGGTTTAAGAGAAGAACTTTTAAAGATGAACTTACCTTCTTCTCCTTTTACATTCTTCATATGGAATGGAAAGAAAGTACCGATGGTGGAATACATCAATCAATGGTCTGAAAGAGATATATAAGTGGTTACAGCTAGTCTTAGCTTACTAAGGTATTTGCTTAGTAGTAAGAAACAGAAAGGTAAAGCTACATCTGTTTCCTATATTTAGAGCTACCTTCAGACTTGTGACACTGAGACTCACCACTAGCGTGTATCAGCTCCTAACTCTTGGCTTGGAACAGGACTTTTTATTCCCTTGAAGACTGACTTGTCTAAATCATGTTTAAAAAACAAAAAAACCCCAAATACATGAAGTCACAACTTGATTACCTGTAGGTGTAAAGTAGGAAGCCTTCAACAATAAGGATGTGGATGGTGTCATCTCCTCCTTCCGTATCTTGTAAGATTTGGGCATCCAGTGTGTTATTGATCCCATGAGAACGTTCAAACTTGACCGGGTTTTTTATCCAAGCGTTTATGGTACTCATCATAGCTTCCATATCCAGTGCACTAATCACTAAGACAAAACATATAGCAATCATTAAGCAGTAATTAAGTATCACCTAATATTAGAGCCAGTACAAAAAAAAACATGTACGTAAAGGATCAAATAACTATTTAAGTCTCTGAGAGCTAGTTTGTTAATTTTGTAACAAAGCCTTACCATCATACTGTTTAAACCCATCTTCAACTTCTATTTCATCTTGAGGCTGAAACAATTGTAAGAAAAAGCAGCTTGGTCAGCACACCTACCAGGAAGCTCATTTCAAGCCTGGGTAATAACCCGTCAAGTTACAAAGAAGAATCTTAACCCTCCACCAGGTTTCTTTGCAACAGATAAAAAGCGGCAACAAGCCTCAGATAAAGCGGCCTGCTCCTCTATCTCCCCACCCAGAGACACACTGTGCAGCACCTCCAGGACAAGGGAGAGCCCCCAGGAGGCTTTGCCACCCGCCGCACGGCCGGCTCGGGCCACCCGGT